ACCATACAAAATACAAAGAAAACTTTAACCGTAACAAAGCGTAGAATGAACAAGTAAAAAAACAACAATAAAATAGAATAAAAAAGAAGACTTAACAAAAAATATAAAAATACATTAAGTTAAGATAAAACAAAAACAGATTAAACCTTTACTTAGCCTTTTTCCCTTTACTTATTTCCATGACCTCCTCTCACCTCCCAATTTTGTATTCTAGTTCAGATCGTATTTCCAGCATATCCTTCTAACCTTATTTTCATTTACGTATTTTAAAATTAAAATAATGTAATTAAACCTCCTCTATTTCATCAATTTCATCAACTCATTTTTGCTTAGTCCATTATATCATATCTACCAGAACGACCTAATATTCTTTTTCCAACCTCTTTCTAACATTCTTTTATATTGCAGTATTTTTGAAGGTATATTTTGAATTTTTTCCAATCTTCTTCCATCGACCCTTCTCCCTGGTCTCGAATTCTGCCGGTCATCTCAGCCAGTTCCATGTAGTCCCTCCAAACACATTTTCTGCAACCCCTCCATCCTTCCTGAAGCTGCCCCATCCTCATCAGAGTTCCTTCATTTGGTTTGATCTCTTATTTGTCTTGAATTGTTGAAGTGTTGTTTGTCCAACCTCAATGCTTTCTGTGTAGTTTTAGAACAACTGGAAGGACCAGTATTTTGTCTAATAAAAATAAATTGATGGCTTTAAAAATAAAATAAAATCCTGGTTGTCTCCTGGTGTCATACGTAAGGAATAACTTTCACTTGCTTTCCAGAACAGTTGGTCTGTTGTACTATAACAACAAATCAAATCAAATACCTTCATTGGCATCACAACAAAAACCCTGTGTTTACATATTTCTGAGCCCAATTCCAAGTGCTGGTTATGACCTACAGAGCCCTATATGGCTTGGGTCCAAGATATCTGAAAGAGCAGATTCCCTCATACAAACCTGCATGGGTTTTGCTATCTCCAGCTTTTCTCTTGATCCCACCACTCTCACAGGTATGCTAGGTAGGACGCAGGAGAAGGCTTTCTCGGTGGTTGTTCCCAGACTTTGGAACTCCCTTCCTAGTGAAATTAGACTGGCTCCCTCTTTGTTCTCCTTCTGCAATCAGGTGAAGACAGGCTTTGTGGAACTGAGAGTTTTTAAGGAAAGGACTAGTGCTGTATTGTTTTTATTGTAATGACCTGTACGTTTTAAATATATCTTTATATATATATATATATATATATATATATATATATATATATACACACACACACACACACACACACACACATATATATATCTATCTATATATATATATAATTCTAATCACCTTTAATTGTTTTTTTAAATTATGGCTCCCCATCCCAATGTTTTTAACTGTTTCTATTTTAGTTGTAAGGGGGAAAGGCAGGATGATAATAATAATAATAATAATAATAATAAAATAAATAATAATAATAATAATAATAATAATAATAATACACAATGCAACAGCTTCCATGCAGCTCCATTTAAACTGGCTTCTTAGCAGCTGTTTGCCAGTATGAAATAGCATGTAAGGCATGTTCAGACAGCAGTTTTCTGTGCTCCTGATTAGACCTTTAAGCCCATAACTGGAAGTGTCAGATGTGCTCCACCAAGGGAAGGGAAGGATCTTGTTTCACTCACAATGGGAGACCAGTCATGCAAACTACACAGCCCACCTTGGTATTATGTTGGTCTCTGTCAGCCATGGAGACTGGTGGGGGTCTAGTGTCCTCTGAAGCAGAGAGGTAGCTTGCTTAATTACAACAGGCTGGTACATCAGACAATGGATTCCTTTCATTCAGCCAGGAGATGATGAATGCATGCATCACTGTGGGTGGTAAGGAAAGGCTGACATGACCAAGCATGCTGGAAACAGAAGTTATTTTTCAAGCATGGCAATCTAGTCTGGTACAAAGTCAAACAAGACATCAGTCAGCAGATTCAGGACCAGGCCTGCAATTCTAGAGCATTATAACGGGCAGGTAGGAGAAAGTGCTGTAAACACACTTGGTTAATCAAGAGCAAATGCTTTGTGTTTATCATCCATTTATTTTCATCCCATCTTTCCTCCAAGGAGCTCACAACATGACCCGTCCCTTTTATCTTAACAATGTAACCCTGTGAAGTAGGTTGGGCTGTGAGATAACAAATGGTACAAGGTGAGCTTCATATCTGAATGGAGATGTAACACTGGGTGGTTTTATGCCCAAGTCCAACGTGCTAACATCCTGACTCTACATCACATAATTCATAACCATTTAAAAAAGTAAAGGTAAAGGGACCCCTGACCGTTAGGTCCAGTAGCGGACGACTCTGGGGTTGCGGCGCTCATCTCGCATTACTGGCTGAGGGAGCCAGCGTACAGCTTCCAGGTCATGTGGCCAGCATGACTAAGCTGCTTCTGGCGAACCAGAGCAGCACACGGAAACGCCGTTTACCTTCCCGCTATAGCAGTACCTATTTATCTACTTGCACTTTGACATGCTTTCAAACTGCTAGGCTGGCAGGAGCAGGGACTGAGCAACGGGAGCTCACCCCGTCGCGGGGATTCAAACCGCCGACCTTCTGATCGGCAAGTCCTAGGCTCTGTGGTTTAACCCACAGCACCACCCACGTCCCTTTTTCCACCCGCGTCCCTTCTTCGTAACCTTTTTCATAACCATTTATAATAGTCTAAAAACGAAATGCAAGGCAACAGCATGTTATTACTAGATTCACTCTGTCCAGAATGCTTTGCCTTAAGAAAGCCCCATCCTTCCTTTCTCAGAGCAAGACAGGATGGAGGAAGAGCCTCTTGAGAGTTTTCTCTGCACTAATAGTGAGCAATAGCCTGGGCTAATAGTGAGCAAAATGAGTGGGGACAGCAAGTGAATCATAGAATCATAGAATCATAGAGTTGGAAGAGACCACAAGGGCCATCGAGTCCAACCCCCTGCCAAGCAGGAACACCATCAGAGCACTCCTGACATATGGTTGTCAAGCCTCTGCTTAAAGACCTCCAAAGAAGGAGACTCCACCACACTCCTTGGCAGCAAATTCCACTGTCGAACAGCTCTTACTGTCAGGAAGTTCTTCCTAATGTTTAGGTGGAATCTTCTTTCTTGTAGTTTGGATCCATTGCTCCGTGTCCACTTCTCTGGAGCAGCAGAAAACAACCTTTCTCCCTCCTCTATGTGACATCCTTTTATATATTTGAACATGGCTATCATATCACCCCTTAACCTCTTCTTCTCCAGGCTAAACATGCCCAGCTCTCTTAGCCGTTCCTCATAAGGAATCGTTTCCAGGCCTTTGACCATTTTGGTTGCCCTCCTCTGGACACGTTCCAGTTTGTCAATGTCCTTCTTGAACTGTGGTGCCCAGAACTGGACACAGTACTCCAGGTGAGGTCTGACCAGAGCAGAATACAGTGGCACTATTACTTCGCTTGATCTAGATGCTATACTCCTATTGATGCAGCCCAGAATTGCATTGGCTTTTTTAGCTGCCGCGTCACACTGTTGGCTCATGTCAAGTTTGTGGTCAACCAAGACTCCTAGATCCTTTTCACATGTACTGCTCTCAAGCCAGGTGTCCCCCATCTTGTATTTGTGCCTCTCATTTTTTTTGCCCAAGTGCAATACTTTACATTTCTCCCTGTTAAAATTCATCAATTTTAGTGCCAGTTCACACACACACACTCAGTCTGAGACAATTGCCTCAAATCATGTTCGGACTGACTCTGACTGACTTGAACATCGGGCACATGCAGTTTCAATAATCAATTTTGTTCCGTGATGTGATATCCATTCTTGCATTTCAAAATATTTGAAGCTTTATTGTTTAGGTGTATGAATGCTATTGTGCATTTTATTATCCACTGAATTCAAAGGCTACCATCTCTGTTGAATTCTGTTGATTTTAGTGGGGGAATAATAAAATCAAAGACATAACTATTAAGGTCCTCTCCAACTCTTTATCTAGTCCAACCCCCTACAATGCAGAACTCTCAACTGGATCATACCAAGGAAGAAGAGTCCACTACTTCTCATGCACTTATTTTCTACAGTCAGACAGCTGTTGCTACCATAAAGTTCTTCTAGATATTTAGTCAGAATCTCCTTTCTTGCAAGTTGAATCCATTGGTTTGGGTCCTACTCTCTGAAGCAGGAAAACAAGCTTGCTCCATCCTCCACAAAGACAGCCCTTTAGATATTTGAAAATGGCTATCCTATCTCCTCTTGGTCTCCTCTTTACCAGGCCAAACACACTGAATTCTCTCTCTCTGCTTGGTTTCCAGACCCTTGATCATTTTGGTCACCCTCCTCTGCACACGTTCCAGCTTGTCAATATCCTTCTGGACATAGTATTCCATGTGTGTTCTGGCCAAGGCAGAACAGAGCAGGACTATTCCTTTCCTTGATGTGAAGAAGTGCCCTGTTCCACACTGCTTTTAATGGGTCTCGTTCCCTAATAAATTGCACCTAGAATTGCTATAGGCCAACCTGCTCTTACTGTATGTTTACTTGGGCATGAGCTCCTCAAAATTCAACAGAAACTACTGGATGGCCCATCGCATTCCACCGCCTGAGGCAAAACAGGAAGGTGCTCACACCACACAGCCCATCCTGCTACCAGACACCCAGCCTTGCTTACCAGGGCAGCTGTGGCTTCCAGCAAGATGGCACAAGGTGGTTTTTTGTAGGGCTCTTGCAAGATCTCACTGGAACCCAGAAACCACCACAGCCGCTTGCAGGGCACCCCTTCAAGGCACACCCCGCATGGATTGCCCCATCCTGAGACTTTCTTCTTTTAGAAGTAATTATAGAATTACACCGCCTTAAGTATGTGCGCAACACCGGCTAACAATAGGGCCTGGGAGCGTTTCGTTTTAAGTGGACCGTGCTTAAAAGTTGTTATTTATTTAAGGGAGACCGTAGCCTTACGTATACTTTGCTAGCGTCAATTACTTCCGAAGAAACGTTAAAGAGAGAGAGGTAGATGAGTCCTGGCTGTTCAGCTAGTTCTGCGGGAGCTCGGCTTCCCTGCGCCGGGTCCCGGTCTCCCCGCCCCCCTCCGGGCGTCGCGCGTCTCTCAGCTTCCCTCCCCTCTCAGCCGGAGAGAGAGCTTCGCCGTCCCTCCTGAGCCGGGGAGGGGAGGAGCGACGCGAAAAGGGGCGGAAGTGCAAACAAGAGCCCGAGGAGAGCGAGCGAGCTTCGGCTTGCCGTCTGCTCTCACACGCTCGCGAGTTTGCTGGGAGCGCCTGCGCGTCGTCGGTGTGCTGCTGCTGCTGCTGCCGCCTGTGCGCCCTGAACTCCGCGCGCCTCGGAAGTGAGTGGAGGGGTTTTGTCTTTTGCGCGGGAGGGAGTGGAAAAAACGAACTTTTGCCGGAGGGGCCACTGCGCCGCCCGAGGTAAAGAGCGGGGAGGAGGAGGCTCCCTTGCAAAAAGTCGGCGCGCCGGCCGAGGGGAGCGCGCGGGGAAGCCTGTCGCGTAGCCAAAGGAGGGCGGCGGCGGCGGCGGCAGGGTCTGCGGAAGAGGAGAGCGACGCCTTTGCCCAGGGCGTGGGGAGAGGCTGGGGGCTGCTGCTCTTCCTCCCCGCGGCGCCGGCTCACTTGGAGCCGCGAGGGCGTGAGAGAAGCCCGCCGCGAAGGAGACCTGTGTCGGTAGCAAAGTGCGCGCAGAGGAAGGGAATAAAAGCAGGGAGGGAGAGTTCAGCTTGGCTATCGAGGGGCAGCCCTTAAAGTCCGGAATATAAGACATTCAGAGATTTCTTATTTCTCTTTCCAGTTCCACCCATCCAACTACCCGACTTTATCTTTTCAGAGAGGCGCACTCCTGTCGGCGGCACTGGGGTGAAGTCTCAAGAGTGTCTGCCTCTCCCCTCACCCCCCTTTCAAAGACCTGTGATCGAGTAAACGGGAAGTGAGCAGCCAGCTATAATCTTGTTTGTTAGGTGCCTGCGCTGCCTCTCCTTGGGGTCCTTTCCCCAGCTTCACTTCCCCCTTAAGAAAGAAAATGAAAATCACATTTCATCAGCAAGACTTTAGCTAGCCGTTCCTGCAGCCTGCTGACAAACCTGTAATCCGGACGTGGCAAAAGACAGCATGGAGGGTGAAAGCGTCTTAGGGAACACATTCAGGGCAGGGCAGGTTGAAGGGTGTGGGATTGTTTGATGGCTCTGTTTTTCTGGCCGTTGTCAGGGCTTTGGTAACTAGGCTGCAGCCAGATAGAAAAACTAGAAGTCCCCTGTGTGTGCACATACATGCACACCCACATGGTATATGGTTAGTGTGGCTTGACTTTTAAGGGTAGGGCTTTTTGTTTTGGTGCCCTGTAGCTGCCATATTTTGTGGTATCCTTAAAAATATAATGCAGTGTAGCAGCCTGTTCCTTGCTAATTTAACTATACAATCTTCATGGGAACAGATGCCCATCTGAGACATTAGGGGAGCAATGAGATGCAACTTAAACATTCCAAAAATGTTCAACATTAGCCAAGTGCGAGTCTTTAAATGTCAAAATGAGCATCTAAAGTCTCTTGAGAGGAAACAATTGCAGCTTCAATGAAACGCAGAGGTGAAACGGAGATAGCAGATGATGGCGCTAAGTGAGTCTTTAGTACGTGTGTTCTGCATACATTAAACCAGATAACTACCACCATTAATGCATTAATTTCCAGAATATGACAGCCTCAAGTATAGACATGCTGTGTATTAATTGCAGAAAGGGGCAGTGAGCATGTTCTATGAGTGGTTGCTAGTTGAGGTTAAAGCACATTGCTAACCTCTGACATTCTGTGCTTTGAACTCCTGCCTGTAGCAGTGGGTCTCAGGTTTGGTTTTGGGGCTGGGAGAGAAAGAGAAGGCTTTTTCACAGTAGTAAGGCTCCCTCTTGAAGGAGGTGAGATACCAATAGCCTTTCAATTTGACAGCCTCTAGAAGGATGCTGGTTCAACTATGTGCTTGTGTATATGTATTTAGAATTTTCCCTTGGTACAGTGTGTCCCCCACCCCCGCCTTGGGGAGGCTTGTTGTGCAGTTTGAGAAACTTTAATATGAATTGTTGTGGTATGCTAAACCATATTTGGGCAATGTTGTCAATGCAACAATAAAAAATGCTACTCATTTTGTAGTTTTGCCACCCCACCCACCACACCACAGCAGTAAATATTATTCAAGGAAATAAAAAGTATCCTTCATAACACTTCCCACATCACTTGGGGTAAATGCAGTTCCACATAAATACTAAGTAACTTTAGTATCTTTCCATACTATGCTTTGGTTTCGTTTTACAGTCTGTGCAGCCTCTCAGCCTTTCCAAATCGATGGGAATGGATAACATCTTCTACGTAAGGCTCAGTTACAATATTTTATCTCATGTGGTGCTGAAACACTTCGCTTGAACTTTGAACAGCAGCAACAAATGTACCATTTAAAAAAATGCCTTAGGCTTCATATGCAAATATTTCGATTGCAAAATGTTGGTTTGTGTTATGTAACTTCTGCTAGCTACTACTCTGTGTGCTTTAAGAGTTAGGTAGAAGATTTCAAGGGCTGTTTTTTTTTTTACTGCATTAACTTTAACACTTGCTGTAACTGTACAGTAGTGTTCATATGCACGTATTTCTAAATTCATAAAGTCTGAGAAACCCTTTTTAAAATGAAAAATGATATAATTATTTGTTTTAAGAATGTATTGTTTTATTGATTCCTTTTATGCAGTTTTAAAAGAAAGTTGCTTTGACTATTGGTCTATAACTTTTTTGGTTGTTTAATAACAATAACAATAAATTCAGAGAGCTGCAGATATTTCACAGCAAGAAAGCCAGTGATTAAGCATCCATAATTATTTACTATCCTAACCTGATATGTGCTAAGGTACCTGCATATGTGTGCAGACCCCAATTCCATATTTTGCAGTATCATTTCGGCCTGAGCTTAGGGTAACAATTGAATAACCCTTGTGATTTGTAATTATTGTGTAACAATGCAATTCTTGTTGCATTGTATCATTTCGACCTGAGCTTAGGGTAACAATTGAATAACCCTTGTGATTTGTAATTATTGTGTAACAATGCAATTCTTGTTGCATTGTATCATTTCGGCCTGAGCTTAGGGTAACAATTGAATAACCCTTGTGATTTGTAATTACTGTGTAATACTTAATGCAATTCTTTATTCTTTCATCCGTGCTCAGATATTTCCTTTTGCTCACCTTAAGGCAGTGGAGATAGAACCCTTCCTTATCTTGGGGTGACACTAAACATTTAGCTTAATCCTCCATGGTTTGACTGAAAACAAATAAGTGGTATTCAAGGCTTTGGAGAAGCTAGACAGCAGAGATTCCATCTTGATGACTTGAGGGCGGTTGCAGAGTAGGAGGAAATGGAACACCCGCAACCTAGAATCCTTTATGTGCCATGTTTTCAGTTCCATTCTCTTGCGCCTGTGAAGCATTTTTTCTTCAGAAGAGAGAGACTGAGGCAACACCCAGGGCTGAGTTCTGAGGGGACTCGGCCATGGAATCTATTTTTGGAACTGGGCTGAGCAGGGTTCACGTATGGCATTTTTCAGTGTGTACACAAAGCATCTTGCATGTAAACCTAAACACCACTTATGTAACATAGGAAGCTTGCTAGGGGTACATTTTGCTAGCAAATTTGCGCCGGAGCGGTACCTATTTATCTACTTACACTTTGACGTGCTTTCGAACTGCTAGGTTGGCAGGAGCTGGGACTGAACAACGGGAGCTCCCCCCTTGCGGGGATTCGAATATGTATATGCAGTATCTAGCATCTAACCTTTAGCATAGGAGCTACACCTCTCCAGTCCCCACCCATGTTTAGAATGAAAGAGGAAGCTTTCTGAGCAAAGATGGCTCACTATTCTATCTGTAATTCTGTTGCTTCCTACCTTTCTATTGGTATTGGCAACACAGAATAAGAACATAGCAGTAGAAGTGGAAAAAAGCACCTAGAAATAACACCTAGCACTTATTTATTTTTATTTATTTATTAAATTTGTATACTGCCCTTCATAGGTGGATCTTGGGGCAGTTCACATCATAAAATACAAAATATAAACAAAAAATATATAGTAAAAACAAGAAAAAATGAAACAATAACTCCACCCCCCCTCCTCCCACAAACACATTTAAAAGTATGTAGGCAGCACATGAGCAAAATACTCAGGGGAGGGAAGCTCTCACTTTGTGCGAGCCTTGGAAGCACACGAGAACATGATGCATCTCTATCTCCAGGTGTTGAGGGCTGTCTGTCGCCGCCCAGAAGCTCAGCAGAGAGCTAGAGAAGGACAGCCCCCTTGAGATATTCTTTCTATTTGTGAATGTCTTACAAAGTAAGCGCCCATTCCCTCTTCACCCTGAATCCTTTGCATCTGCTGGAATATGGATGCGAGAGGTTTGTTCCTTTGGTCTGTGGCACATGGAAGGTTCAGGGAAGGGGAAGAGAAAGAGAGATCTCCTTCGTGCTCATCTGCAAATAAAATTGACAGGAAAACATTCCTTGTTTGCTAGTGGCTAGGCTACCTGGATAGGGATACTACATTTGTGTAACCCTGTGCCTTCCTGCAAAAGGATTTCAAAAGTGCAGCACCATTCCAGGGAAGTCCCTCTTTCCAGCCTGGTGTAACGTAGACTACAAACTTGTGGGTTTCCAGAGCAAGGTCTCTGAAGACCTTGGTGGGGAAGTGGTCCATAAGATACTAGTCGTAGGGCAGGCTTCCTCAAACTCAGCCCTCTAGATGTTTTGAGACTACAATTCCCATCATCCCTGACCACTGGCCCTGCTAGCTAGGGATCATGGGAGTTGTAGGCCAAAAAACATCTGGAGGGCTGAGTTTGTGGAAGCCTGTCTTAGGGATTTTAGAGAGAATTGGTCGCTACTGCAACATTTCATGGTTCTCTGTGGCTGAGCAACCATCAGTTACGTGGTAGTTGCCAAACAGTCTCTTAAGAGAAGTTGAGTTAGAATTCATTGTGGTAATCCAAGCAGGATTGCAAATTCCCTGTCATGCAGGAAGTGGTGCAGCTGGACAACCAGCCAAAGCTAGCAAAAAGCACTCCTGGCACAGATGCAACCAGCATATGAGGAACACGAGGTGTACTTCCAAGCTGCAAGGTCTATTTTTAGGCTGATATTTGCCCTGTCCAAAACTGGCAAGTACTCATCTCCTTATTTTACAAACGTCAGTGTTTCTCTTACAAAGGTTCTAGTTAATTGGTTAGTCAGCTTTTGCAGAGTGATTTGCATCAGAACGTTTTCTGAGGCACTAGAGTATGGTCTACTTCAGCAGGCTTGTTTTGCTTGTATTTAGTAAACAAAGCTAAAAGCTTTGAAACTTCCAAGCTCACCTAGTATTTGTTTGCAGTGTTGCATCCATTCATTGTTACTTTTGACCTTATGAAATAATGCTCCCCCCCCCCCGAAAATTCACAGGCAGGGCTTTGGACGTTGGTGACTCTCCTCTTAGAGACTTCAAAATGTTAATATCTGAAGGCCGTATTGCAATTGTTCTTTGTACGTGAGTTTCTTCAACTTTCCAAATAATCTTTTAAAACTTCCTTACAGGCATTCATTCTCTGGAATTAGACCTTGACTTCCAGACGCCATGAACAACTACAGCGTTTCTTTGGTTGGTCCAGCCCCCTGGGGTTTCAGGCTTCAAGGTGGCAAAGACTTCAACATGCCTCTGACCATCTCTCGGGTGAGCCTATTTTGCCTTTTTAAAAACCTTTTTATGTCAAAAGCTGCAGCAAATATGTGCCACTTGAAACTAGTGAAAAGGAATATTTGGTAACATTATGTGCCTGCTGAATGAAGAGGCATTCAATTCAGTTGGGTGCAATTGAATATTCATCTTGTTTTTAAGAGAAGTAGCAGTGTCCCATCTTGGAAGTGGTGGTAATGGCCTTCAAAAGTTTATTATCTGACATAGTCACTAATTAAAAGAGTATTTCCTGTCCTTTTGTGTTTCTATCAAAATTAGTATTTTGCTCGTGTTCTTGCTTTTTATCAGTTGTGCATCTGAGTTACGATATGATAAGAGAATACACTTGAATGTGTTAATTGTGATAGACATTCTGGTTATAAAATGGCAAAAAGCAACAGCCAGAACCTGATTCACTTTCCCTTCATTTAGTGTAAGTGGGATGTGGAGAGACAGTGCTGTGGGACTTTATTTAGGACTGGGACTTTGTTAAAATGCCCAGGTCTTCTCATATCCATACTTTGGTAGGTAAAGGTAAAGGTAAAGGTAAACGTATGGACTTAACTTTGGATGGTTAAGTCCAGTCAAAGGTGACTATGGGGTTGCGGCACACATCTCACTTCAGGCTCAGGGAGCCAGCGTTTGTCCACAGACAGCTTTCCAGGTCATGTGGCCAGCATGACTAAACCGCTTCTGGTGCAACAGAACACTGTGACATAAGTCAGAGCACACAGAAATGCTGTTTATCTTCCCACCACAGTGGTACCTATTTATCTACTTGCACTGGTGTGCTTTCAAACTGTTAGGTTGGTAGAAGCTGGGAACAGAGCAAAGGGAGCTCACCCCATTGTGCAGGCTTTCTGATTGGCAAGCCCAAGAGGCTCAGTGGTTTAGACCACAGCACCACCAGCGTCCCCCCATCCTTTGGTAAAAGTAGTCAACTGACTAAGAAAATGCTGTTGAATAATGTATATGTGCCCTGTGAAAGGGCAACCCTATGACTTCTTACCCAGAAAATAGTTTCCTGTTAACTATTCCAGACTAGAATACTTACTACTTTCTTTTGCAAAGGTAGCTCAAATTATTTCATTTAAAAATATTTAAAAGGGCCCTTGTGTGTGGTGATGGTAGACAGAAATGTTTCCTAACATCATAAGATCAGAGAGAACAGATGGATAGCACAGTCCAATAGTCTTCAATGTTTTTTAACCCTGGACCTTCCTATAACCCAAGCATGCATTTGGGAACCCATGATGGTAATGTTTGTGGTAAGTCCTCATCCACCAGTTGAAGGCCAATGGCATAGACAATGGAAAAACAAAGGAAATGGGTAATATAGCAGAAAGGAAATTCAAAGCAAGCAGTTTAAGATAGCACATTAGGGGAGTCAACACTTGGAAAAATGTGTTCTCCAAAGCTGATTATGCTGAGGAGTTCTAAGCTGTCATGGAGCCTCTAGGTTGGATCTATTTTGCAAGTTGTTCCTTTAAACTAGAAAAAGGTGTATTACCTTACTCTTCATGCCTTTCAGGGGTCCTTAAAGTATCCTAGGGTAAATAAAGGGACTCTTCCATCTTCTTCCTTAAAAGACCACATTTTTAAAATGGTCCGGCTAACACATTAATTCCCAATACATAACCCACTAGCATCTTGTAACAGCAGTGCTGCCTTGGGCTCCTTTGGGAGGAAGGGTGGGATATAAATTTAATAATGCAAGTCTCCTGAAAGCAAATGCAATTTATGCATCATGTTTATGTGTGTGTGACAGGTCCCCAGTGGATTGCATCCACATTAATAAGTCTGAACTAGGACTACAAATACATTATAGACACACACACACTCCAAATGTAGATTGGAGTTAATGTTCAGTGTGTGTTCCTTTGTACGGCATGTTGGAATTAACACACTTCATTCTGGTATGCTGATCAATTGCCCCTCTGATAGTATAATGGAACTGTGTTGTGTTATGGGTACATCAGAACAGGGTGTACAACACAACACTCTTCTCTTCCCAGTAAAGCCAGAAGTGCTAGCTAATTAAATGTTGATAAAGAAATGCGCGAACAAAGGAGCAGAGCTGTTTATGTGCCCTTTACCAAGGTCCTGCTGTCTTGTTGTGACCTTCTTGGGTTTGGGGGAAGTCATGCGTGCAATTCATTCTGTACTGCGAGAGCAAGTTATTTTTATGGCTTTGTATTGGGAGCTGGCATCCCCATACTGCTGCGTACAAAGGGAAGCTTAAAAATACTTCTCAACAGCACTTTTAAATGGTGACTAAATAGAAATTAGTTCCTAATGGATTTTATTATTAGCAAGACTATCCATAAAAGTAAATGTCATATTCAGTAAAGCACCAAGAGTTTCCTTCATAAAAACCGCTGCACTCACAGCTTCAGTAGAATTGGTAGCTGCCTGTTTGAAATGGAAAAAATGATTTCAACTTTCAAATGCCCGGTGAAGTAAGCTCAAGCGAATGGAGAAGGCTTTGATCTGAGCTAATTGCAAGCTACGAAACTTTAAACAATTTGCCATTTTTACCTTCACAGTTGCCATAGCAAGCCTGCTATTTTCAACCCGGTTTATGGTTCTGGAAACTGGATTATAGGGAAGAGCCATGGAATCAGATTTAATTTAGGGCAGCCTTTCCAAACCTGGTGCTCTCCAAATGTGAAGGGCTATAATGACCATCATACCTGGCCATTGGTGTGCTGGCAGGGGCTGGTGGGAGATGCAGCCCCAAACATCTGGAGGGCACCATGTTGGGGAAAGCTCATTTAGTGACTAACTTCCTAGAATGGAAGCAGTAAAGTAAAGGTAGTCAGCAAGGAAGAGAGAGAGAATTGGAAAACATTTAATGGGAGTAAAAAGTGCAAGGGAACAAAATTGTTAATGGAATTCAAGGGTGTTTCAGGAGTACCATTACATTAAATCAGCTTATGTATAATGTCTCTTTAGATTAGGCATTTATTTATTTGGAGTATTTATGCCCACCTACTAAATGAAGTTGTCTAGGTGGCTTATGATATATAGCTTAGGATACAGTAACATAAACAAGAATTACTAGAGAAGTAACAAAAAGTCACCCCCCCCCCGAGCCCTCAGTTATTCCAGTTGTCATTCTGCTTCTGAATCTCTGGAGCAGGTCTTGGAGGAAATGATCCAGACTCGGAAATGACAGCTGAAGTAGCCAGATGCTGGTCCCCTGCAGAGCAACCTCCTCACATGCGCTGCTGCTGTTTTGCCTTGCAGTTCCTGGCTCTGTAGGCAGATGCAAAACAGGAAGCTGCTTTATACTGAGTTAGAACATCAGTCCATCTAGCTCAGCATTGCCTGTACAGTGGTACCTCGGGTTAAGAACTTAATTCGTTCCGGAGGTCCGTTCTTAACCTGAAACTGTTCTTAACCTGAAGCACCACTTTAGCTAATGGGGCCTCCTGCTGCCGCCATGCCACTACTGTGCGATTTCTGTTCTCATCCTGAAGCAAAGTTCTTAACCCGAGGTACTACCATATTTTTCGTCCTATAGGGTGCACCGGCCCATAGGACGCACCTCGGTTTTTTGGGGGGGGGGAATGAAAAAAAATAATTATTCCTCCCCCAGCCGCGGCTGCCGCCCCAAGCCTTGCGCACACCTGCCCGAAGCACGGGGCGCCCTCCGGAGGGTGCCCCGTGCTTTGGGCTGCAGGCTGCTGTCTGCAAGCTTTGTGAGCCCGCGGGAACTCCCGCCGGGCTTGCAAGGCTTGCAGATAGCTTCCTGAAGCCTGGAGAGCGAGAGGGGTCGGTGCGCACAGATGCCTCTCGCTCTCCAGGCTTCAGCGAAGCCTGCATTCACCCCATAGGATGCACACACATTTCTGCTTCATTTTTGGAGGGGAAAAAATGCGTCATATGGGGCGAAAAATACAGTATTTCTGGGTTAGCAGAGTCTGTAACCTGAAGCGTCTGTAACCTGAAGCGTATGTAACCCGAGGTACCACTGTACTGACTGACAACAGCTCTCCAGGGCTTCAGGCAGGGGGCCTCTCCCAGTCCTCCCTGGCGGTTGCAAATCTAGACTGTTTAAAATAAGAAGCTTTCAGTTAAATGTCAAATGAAGGTAAGCAATATAGGTTTAAGATGCCTTTCATATCAACTGAAATGCTCGAAAGAAGCATGACACAGATTCCTGGATCTGTCGTGCACACCGCTCCCCTCACTCCAATAGACTTAAATAAATACATGTCTTCTTATGAAATATGTGTAGCAGTAAACTTTGTAGAGTTTGTTTGCTAGGAGTGACTGCCTATAAGCACAACCTAGTGGACAGAAAGCTTAATTTCACACCTGTAACAAAACAAATTGAACAAACGAGTGGAAACTTGCAGATGCATATGTTTACATAATATATTTGTATGTTTTGACCCCACTTCTCTCTCTCTGTCCTCCACTCTTCACACACAAACATGGTAGGTTTAGCCACTCAGTAGTTGTATATGTGCTCTCCGTAGTTCACTCATATCTGCTGAACGTTCCACTTGTCCAGATATAGGAACACTCAACTGGATGATGCTGTTAACCATGTTAACCCGATGGAGAGGGGGAGAATAGTAGGGTGAGTGGCTTGTGGCTGCAGAGGAGATGGAAGGAAGGGAGGGAGGGAGGGAGGGAGGGAAGGAAAAGCTGCAGTGGGAGCTGGGGAAAAAAGGCAGGGAAGCCTGATCACTTCTTAGATACTCATTTTTGCTGTTCTAAAAAGAAAATCCAAGCCAAGCAAGGCTTGAACATTTAGGTAGGTGGTGACTCCAAGCATGTGTTCTGCAAGTATTGGCTGTGCTACTGTGGGAAACCTGGAAATAGTGTACACTGAAGCTTGTTTGTATTGGGACCAGAGATAGGTTGGGCACATAGCAGCTCAAGAGATCATGC